CTGGTTCCACGTCACATCACATCAGACCAGCAGGCTGCCATCTTTTTCTGTTCAATCGATTAGCTTTGCTTTCCTCAACGTATAAAAACATTAAACTGAGCTAACGGCAGCTCGCATCAGGTTCTGGTTTGTTATTGTGACGGATTAAAGTTCAGGGATCAGCATGATCCTTCTAATTTTTTTTGGGCGTCGACAGACATTATCGTCAAAATTCAAACATCGGATTGCATTTATATTTCGTCTTGTTTTTAAGTTGTGCTGTAAAGAGAGATTTGAGCCAGACAATCAAAATGTGTTTGTTTTTGATTAGAGATGCCAAAAATATGATTTGGGGGAAAATAAGAAGTTAATGCATGCTCCCCAGCCACTGTCATATTGCTTGCTGTGCTGCACATTTGGACACCTCTCTGTTCTGACATAAGAGACACAGCGTCTCTGTATCTCTGAAGCTTTGACTGTTGGTTACAACAATGTTGAACATATACATTTACGCTAAAGCTAATTGCATTTATGGCAATTTAGATGCCCTTTATTTGTATTTGTACAGTTTAATATCACAAACGATGAATCCAAGGTTTACAAATTGCCCCAACACATTTCATGAGACACTTCTGTCGAATATTAATTTGTGTCAAATGCAGTCAAGCGCCCCGGTGTCCTTTTGTTAATGTAAATGCCAGCAGATAATCAACAAATGGTGCAAGGCTATCATGTCCCCAGCAGTAAAAGCTCACAACTGCCGGATGACATTGATAGAATCAGGCTCCGGTATCCAGAGGAGGGTGACGTCAGTGTCAACATTAGTGGGAGAGCGGGTGTGTGAGACCTTCTTTAGTAATCTCTGTACACACATGGCTCAGATAGGGCTCCCCACAGTGCCGCCCAGACTCCCCAGACTGTGGATTTAATTAAACAGTGTGAAATTAATTAATCAGTCGAGTGGCAGGTAAAAGAACTTCTCGCCAGAGCTGCTCACACAACCAAGACAGGCATTTCATGTGCGCTGACAGTTATTAATTTGCTGTATGTTTTATTATAGTGTTTCTATATAGAGATGCTGAAATTCTGGGAGATTATAAAAGCTTGGCATGCGAAAAAAAACCATGCAAATTATCAAAATAACAGCTCTCGAAAATCAAAGTGTAAACCTGTGTTTGATCTGTTCTATCAATTAATTAAAAAATTCAGTTCTGTATAATAATGTGGTGCAAATTAGATGGAAATGAGATAAAATATTCATTTAGTTATCTGGGGAATCTGCCTGGAGGGCTTTTTAGTCTTCAGTCTGGCTCAAAATGCTGTCCATATGGCAATTATGTACAGTAGTGTTGCAGAAGGATTGGTCTGATGCCTACTGGCAGAGAGGAGCCTGCCTGTGACAAACTGCTGCTAGGATCTGATGTGAGTTGAGGGAGATAATGAGGCTGTTGTAAGCCTTAAGTATAGAGCCTGCCCCCGGGGTGGCATATCTAAGCACTCGGGCTCCCTCATTGTTGCATGTGCTGCTGAGGATTAAAAACACACTACTTTTTTTTTTTTTCCTCATAAACTTTGTCAGTACTTCCTGCTACTCTTTGGACAACTTCTGCTTTCATGTGGCAAGCCTCTTGACATTGCTTTGTGGAGGAGATGATTCTCTTCTCTCTTGCAGTGTGTCGATGTGAAGTCTTGTCTTGATTCCACTCTGAGCTATCTATAGCTCATTTTAAGTACCACACCAGAGGATGTGTACATTTCTGGGGTTCGTCCTAGGATGAGTGAACTTTTTTCTGAAATGCCATATTTTGTTTGGAAATCTCTTAACATTGATCCCATTGGCGTTTATTTTCAAATTAAACTTCACTAACAGGCAGAGTAAAAAAGATGTGGGTGAGGTATGATGATTTATGTGTCCTAGCACAGAGCTCACGCCTGCTGTGTTGTAAAAGAGAGAACTGCCCACCTCTGGAGAGGAACTCTTGACATCCACTGCAGGTTGGATACCTCCACCACTGTCACACATATACAGCACGTCTCAAGAAAAAAAGGACACCATGCAACCAAGTGCAATATAAAGAAATCCCTGCAGTGTGTGCGGACTAATTGAGTCACCCAGGAGGATGGCTATAGTGCTCCATTACATAGAAAGTGTAATTCACTGAATGCGAGTAGTTGTGTAGACTATTCACAGTTTTAACTTAATGGAATAAACACGACAGAGATCTTTATACAATACCAGCAGGCATTTAATTAATGGCCATTTAGAGCTTGCATACTAAATAGGAGGGAGAGAGAGAAGTCGACACTCGAGCCAATGGCAAAGAAACTTTGGAGAGACCTGCAAATGGCAGGCAGAGTCAGACTACTGGGCAGAGCTGCAAGTGATCACTCAACCATGGGATTAAAAAGCATTTAAGCCTTGTACCGAACTGTCCCCTCCCCCCGTTTTTTCTGTCCCGCCATGTTATTTCTGACCATTCGGGAGAAAAGAAAAGACAAATACTCCTTGCCCGGCTTGTTACTGCCAGTGCAAAACTGCGGGTAACAGGTTTTTTCACAACGCCAACATCTATAAGCGTACAGCGGTGCTTTCTTGCAGAAAAACATAATGAGCTTGCCTAAAAGGGTTTCTGTGTTCTGGTTAAGGTGCAAAATGGACTGTCACTACTGTTTATTTCATTCATGTCTGGATGTAATGGAAAACACGCAATCAAATGTAGGACACGTTTACTAGAGTGGTTCACTTCACACTTCTATTCACACTTCTAATGCCTCTTGGGCAACTACAGGCAAATTTATGACAGGCTGTTGACGTATTCATAGGGAGCTCCAGTCAGTGCACAGGCTTGATTAGAACAAATCCATGCTGTACGAGATAAATCAGCAGCTACGCTATCCCAAAAGCATTCTGCCAACTGTTTGTGCTGAGGGGATGTTGGTGAAAAAGCTTTTGATTCAGTGGTCACCAGAGCACCAGAGCACCAGAGCTCCCTGCCTGCCTTTGCTTGTTTTGATGGGCAATGATGAAAGCACAGGTGGATGCGAGAAAGCTCCCCCCGCTGCGGACTCCTCATCTGTGGTTTCCTATTAGCGCAGGAGTGGAGGTTTGCAGTCTGGCTGCTGGGCACAGTGGGTCAGTGCTCACAAAGCTCTGTTTGTTCCCTGGCCTGCAGGGCTCCCAGGGTAAGCTTGGCTCCAGAGGGGAGACAAACAAAAAGGCACCACTGTCTCACACTCTGAAGCTGCTCTCCGACACATTCGTCTTTTCTACTCGACGGGGGTACATTTCTCTTCTTAGGAGAGGAATTGTAAAAGGAAACAAGTTTTTTTAGAGACAGGGCCTCGGGATAACAAAACTGCTGTTGTGAGCTATGTGTTTTTTCTCGGTTTAAATTCCATTTTGAGTTGTTGCTTGTGTTGATGTGTTTTCTTTTTCTCCCCCTTTTTGCTTTGTGTTTCTCATCTCCTTTCGTCTTGCATAGACTCTGAGCTTTTTGTCTTTCGCTGCTGCATCAACGTATTCTGAGTGAAACCCAAGGAAACCGCCGACAGCAACAGGCACATAACGCGTCATGTTTAAATTCCAGCTGTAGTTGCTTACTCCAGAAGTCGACCTGTTGAAGTGAAACTGGTGCCACTGAGGTACTGAGGCGTTTCTCAATTAATAAATGATTTCTAGGTATCTCCTCACTGTGTAAACACTGTGTTCCTGTGATTTCTCAAGGTGAATTAACGTGTAGGAAACTCTTTTGGCTGCTGTTAGGTCAGCCACTGTTGTGCTGCAATCTGCAGTCCAAGTATAACTCCATTATTGAGGGGACTTTAAAATGGGAGCCTTGTGACACACAGCGGGATGATTTAGTTTAATGACCATGGCAGTGACAGCAGTGTGATGGAAATTGGACTCCCCCTGCAAATTTACATCACTTGAGGGTACTTGGGGCTCTTTTAGCGGCTGCACTCCAGAGCATGAGCCATCAGGAGGTCCTGGATATGTCATGCTTGTCACCTTCCTTTAAGTGCATCTGCAGACGTGGGAGAGGGATTAATATTATATAGCCTACGGAAGCACAGAGGCCGTCTTATCAGCACTGCCGATGTGATAAGCACCTCTACCCCCATGAAAACCAGGGAAGATCTCCAAGCAAAGAGACAAGCATCTCTTTGTGTGTTTCAATGTGGTTTTAGTGGCAGATATGGTGCAATTTCACATCTGTTGTAATTTGATGTGCCTGGATCACCCCCTGTGAAATCGTCTTGATCACAACATGGGTCCTTTCAATTATTTAGAAAGTTGGCATATGGCTTTGGAGATAGTAATCTGATTTCTTTTGATTTTGAGGTTTTCAGAATGGCTACGCCACAAGTCCCAATAGCAGCTGTGCAAAAAAAATTGAAAAGGAAAAAGCCTTTCTCTGTGATCGTGTTATTTGGAAGCATCGTCCCTCCTCCTCTTTTCATAGAGAAAAAAATCCCTCACTGATTTATATATTTAATATAAATGTCACTTTTGTGGAAATATTTTCCATCATTGCCGTGACACTCATCTCACATTACATCACATCAATGCAGATGTCAGTGTGCACAAATTGCATTGCCCTCAAACTGATTCTGAGCTGTGAATGTAAGTTATGGCAACCATTGCTGTCACTTCAGTTTTATCAGGAAAGCACCCTGTGGAACCATGGAAACAACATGTGATGCACACACACACACACACACTTACACACACACATTGTGTCTTCATGACTTCAGAGGACATTTCCTAGAGACCTAATCTAACCATAACCTTACCTAGTACATGCATTTCTAACCATTAACCTATTACTTTGACATTTAATGATTCATGTCCTGCAGGCAGAGGACTTTTTCTATGCATGAGAAAGACAAGACCCTGTAATGTGAGTGTGTAAACAGATTTAGGTCCCCACAACATGAGTAACACATGAATGACACACACACACACACAGATACGCAAACACACACAAAAACAGCTACATCAAAGCCAGCATATACTGTAATTAGAATTTATTGAAGCCTATTCAGTCAGAAAAGGTACATGATCTGCAGAGCATTTGGACTCAGTCCCACACCCTCCATTAAACACAGTACAGTGCATTAAGCCTTGGTATTACAAGATGCAAAAATGAATCATTTGTGAGGCTGTTGCTGCAAATAGGAATATGTCATTTATGTGTCCTGGTTTTACTGTAGCTATGTAAAGCAGCTGCGCATGCTTACAAAGAGAAAGCACCTGTTTATATGTAACATTTATGTGTGAAATATGTTGTATAACGTGGATTAGAGCACAGATAATCGTACACCATACATCTGCATTTCACGTAACAGGTGAAGCTCTGACGGTATTTACAGTCAAAGCCGGAAAATAAATATCTGCATCAGAGCTGAGAATGTGGAGATATTCTTTTCATCTTTGGGAGGAAAATAAAGCGCTGTTCCCTCACAGATGTAGCGTGTTTTCCTCACACAACACCTAAGATGCGAGCCACCCACCAACGACAAGGCATAATGACTCGGCATGCTACCTGGCATCCTCTGTAGTGGTAAGGCCAAGGCCAGTAGCCACGCAGAGGCTCGCATATTCTCTGACAGTGAGTGTAGCTGCGTTGGCAATCCGAGCAGCAGATCCCCTGGTGGTCTAACATGGAGTCAAAGGTCACGGCGCCCTCCTCTCCAGCCGCTCCGCTGCGCTGCAGTTTTTGAAGCAAAGTTAATTTTGAAGAGCAGTCTTTCTTTTCAACTTAAACTCACATTTGCAATTCAAATGTTGTCAGAAAAACTTCTCATCCTCTTAAAACACGTGACTCCAGACTCTCTTAGGCAACATGAATTTTAATAACCGGTGGGAATTTTCACTTTAGTTCACAAGTTCGTTAACTTGGAATGGCGGCTGTTACTCCCAGTGATCTGTGATTATAGTTGCTAATACGACACCTCCCCAAACAGCAGCACCGGTGAAGGCCACACAGCTGACCGGAGGAATAAATCCTGGTTGGCACGTTTCCACGCTGTAAACTTCTATTTGTGTGAGAATGCATTTTTAACAAGTCTGGCCTCTTAAGGATTTTATGTATTCATCTGTAAAAAGTGTTGACAAAACCAAGAAACTTCACTTCTTAAATTATTGTTACTTCAGGGGTTGCTTCAGGCCTCGGTTTGTGCCCTCTTGATAGTTAATCAGTTTACCAGCTCTGGAGTCTTGTTTATCACAGTGTTGTTGACGAACTTGCTACTCACATGATAGGGGTTTTCAGGATTGAACGCCGACCCTGCCGTCGACTGAGCCCCCTCCTCTTGGTCTCCTTCCACGACTCTGGAGACGGCAGCGTCTTCCGCGTGACTCACCGGGTCCCTCTCCTCAGCAGGCGCCTCCAACTCCTCCACGCTAAACTGCCGCTTGGCTCGCTCCGTATCTCTCTTTCTCCTTTCCCCATCTGTTACAGGCGGCCGCAAGAGGCAAGAGTATTGGGTCAACATCCACAAGACGACATACATGTCCTCAGAGCTCAATCCCACATAGCTGGGTCTGTCTCAGATGTCCTGAATAATTAAATCAGCAGCAGTGATATCAGGCACTCTTGCATATTTCAAGATCATTCTTTTTTAATAGCCGACTGGAGCCTTTTTTTGGGTGCAGGCCTCTGAATGTAGTTCATAATGTTCGAGATGTTCAGGTGTTTCACCAACTTCTCAGGCAAGACTGTGTCAGCAATAAGGGAAATTGCAGGCGAGCCTAAACTATGAAGAAATGTATGTATGGTAGCGGAACAGTTTTTCTATACAACCTGTGTGATGGAGTGAATGAAAAACGTGAACGGTGAAGAGCAGACGACCTTTGGGGAAAGCAGGTTGGAGCCAGTAAATGGGAAGTTCCCCACAAAGACCCAGAATCTTGCTGCTCAGAAAACTGGTGTCCGTCAGCGGCTGCTCTCCTGCGACCCAAACAAGGAACCCTTCGTCAAACCTCACTGGCATCAATTCATCCATCTGCAAAGACAAAAAAGATATATCATAGAAATGTGTTGACAGCAGCCAGAATGTCAATGTCAGCAATGTTTGGTGAGAAGTGCTGTGTACGTACCAGGTCGAACATTAGCGTCTCTTTGTTGTGAGCTCCCATGTGTGGAAGGTTGGCTTTGATTTGAGATTTGATGTAGCATTTGTCACCTCCGAAGAAGCGAATTCCAGTAATCCCCTGCACCAAATCACAGAGATGCCATGTTTACACTTGACGGCTTTTATTTATCTATCTTTCCGAAACACACAGAAGAGGTCTGCTCTGAACTAAGAGAGAACAAGGACAAAACTCACTCACTATTTGAAAGTCATGGATCTCCACCACTTCCCCAGCTCCGCTCCCAGTTTTGTATCTCTCCAGGTTGTTGTCGGAATCAATTTCAACGGAGCCCTCCCTCACCTCCCCATTGATGTTCATACTGTAACGAACATTATAAACCTGGCAGCAATCACAGTGGAATGTTAAAATGAAGCAAACACAAAAGAAAGATACAAAAGAAGGAAAAAAAAAAAAAAAAAGCTTTATGCTTCTTATTCCCCTGCTCTGTGTTTTTGTTGTTTCAGAAATCTGAGTTAGCACACTGAGAATCTGAGCAAAGCACCACAGGACATGCTTTTGCAGACCTTGATGGGGATGCTTGCCCTACAGGTAAGCTCATTAGGACACAAATAAACATAGCACTAATTCTTACAGGATGGAGTGAGAAACAATATAAGTATTGTATGTGTATATGTATTGTAGATATAATTAAAGTGTAATCCTGCCTTGTTAGTTATTAACAGGGAATCTCTGGTGAATATCTCGTATGACATATCCCACCAATAACATCCTGGCTTTTCACTTTCAGATATCTGTTATTGCACCATGAAGCTTTAGCACAGTCCTTGGTTGCCACTCACATTTTTATCACTGACTTTCCACAGGTAGAGAGCAGCCACGGATGCACACAGCATCAACACAGCGCCGACTATGAGAACGGCGGCTCCACATCTCAGGAGGCGACTGACTGGAGCAGAGGTGGCGGCGCTGGATGTGCTGTGTCCCTTAAAGTTCACAGTGAGTCAAAGTAAGAAATCACACACAGCGAACAGCATCCAGGATAGAAGTAAAAACTCCTGGAAATATCAACATTTTACAGTTTTACGTCATGGATGCCAATTAAAAGAAACCAATAGGCCTGTCTTACCAGAGGAGTGCAGTGTTCCCAACAGCCATATCCATGAGTGGTATTATGGACTTTCTCCACAGTCTCTCCCATGCTGCCGTCTATAAAATCTTATCTAGTACTGTTACCTCTCTTTGGAGAATCAGGCTATCCGACAGGAGGACTATGTGACGCCTGAGTGTGAATGACGTGCAGTTGATTTAAATTCTTTGAGCTAAATTCTTCGTCTGAATGTTACCTGTAGGTGCAGGTTGCCTGAGGCAAGGTGGCCATCCTGTGGCACCAAACTAAAACCAGACTTTTGCAGCAGATCAGGGCTCGTCACAGATTGGCTGGTGTCATGTTTTACAGGCAGTGACCCAGGGTCGGGTGAAAGATTATTGTCTAACCTGAGAAGCGTTTTAATACTTACAAATTGTGTAATGCCAATCGTGATGACTTGCTGAAATTAATTTCCTGTGCTGGTTACAGGTCTCAGCAGGTAGAACATTGCACTACAAACTCATCTGCAGAACCAAGGCTTCTTTGGTCTTCATATTTCTATAGTGTGATGACTTGCAAAATCACACAGACACACAAATAACATTATTTGTGAAGTTCCTGATTTGAAAATGTGAGAAATGTGAGTTTTGTGGGAAAGGTTACTTGGTCCTTATCATAACATTAAAGGATGAAACACTAAAAGAAAATATATTCAAACGTGCAATGCTGCTGTTACTTGGAAACAGATTGAACCGCATTTCTTTTGGATAATTGCGGAGCTGCGAGGCAATCAGAAAAGGTGAAGGATTCTTTGACCTTTCAAAATATGTAATTGTAACAGCATTTGATCAGAAATGTAGTATTTGCATGCAAATTGAGGCGACACAGTAACTGCATTGTGCACCACGAGCGGAATATGACATTGACTTATGCTTGCTATCAATTTAGCTGTGGAGGACCATTTGATTTATTGTGGCTCATAAGCCTTTAAGGCAAATTAAATGCATTCACTTGGCTAATTGAGGTTATTCTGTGTCTTTTGTGAGCATTTCCTCAAGACAGTCCGATAACATTTGAATCCATGTAAGCCCAGATAACTAAACTGTTGTTGAAAAGCAAAACAACTAGCTTTAATTTAAGCCGTTTATTTGTGTAACAATGTGACAAAATCTACCATAAACATGGTAATCCTTCATATTGATTGTTTTCCACAGCAGAAAGACAGGCCTCGTTCAGCCTAAGTGTCCATATAGGTCATGCCTCTTAAATAATAATGCATGCTCTTGAAAAGTCATAATAAAATTTTTCTTTACATTGAATCATTATGAAAAATATATTATTAATGTACAAAATCTTGCATATTACACATGAGAAAATGAACAGTCTTACATGAGCCAAAGGACACATGACAAACTACAAAACACTGCAACAATCCAACATAGAGTCAGTTAAGATAAAAGTACTGTACAGTATAAAGAGTTCATTTTCTTTCTTTTTAAGAGTTTGCATACTCCGGAATCGATATCTCATCCGCTTCCTGTATTCTGGCCGGTGTCGGCGGACCAACGAGAATATAATCAAATTCCTGGTGTTGGACTTTTTCGTAAACACTCTGCAGCCCAGTGGGTTTGTTCATGTGAGCTGGGTAGTAGTTTTCCCTCCTGCTGTCCCGGGGGAGCGAAGCTGTCTTGGAGAATGTCGACAAGTGGGGTGCGCAGGCCATGCTCGTGTTGGGCCTTGTAGCCGAGGGGCTCCAGCATCGGTCGGAGTGTCCCAGCACTTTGCACTCGCTCGTGCACGCCCAGAGACCTGCGGGAAACAACCAAATCAGTCATAATGCAATGGGATGTAATCTGTTGAGTGTGTGGCTTAGATTTAATCTTTACATACTTTCATTTGGCTCCATCTCAATTCCTATTTTATTGATTTTCATTGTGCCTTTGAGATACTCACTGTTCATTGGCGGCGACTCTTTTTTGTGCACGTCTCCACTCAAGTCAGAGTCACTGTCATTGAAGTCGCTGTCCCCTTTTCCACTGTCCTTGCCGCTGATGTGAGGATCTCTTGCTGAGATCGTTGTGAAGGAATTACCTTTCCATATTGTTATGGGCCTGACGGTTTCCTTCCCATATCCTGGCAATGTAGAATAGCCCTGCTAGCACGGACAGAAAGTTGCACAGATCTATTAGTCAAACTTCAAAAAGTCAACCACAATATGTGACAAACTGTGAAATATCCCTGGAAAAATAATAGCGTACCTTTAATTTACCCTCCGCCACCCTGCTGGTTGACTCAAAGATGCCTGCTGTCTGCCTGCCATCTTCGCAGCCTGTCTCTGTAGTGTTGCTGCTGGCCAACGGCGGCTTCTCTGGAAATGGATGGGCATCAAACACTTTCCCTTTGTGGTTGGCAATCACTGAATCAATGTGCCCGCTCTCCACTTTCTCCATGTTGGGCACGTCTTCTTTTTCATCGCACCCCCTCTCCCTTGTCTCTTTTCTCCTGCGGCTGCAAATGGTTGTAATGAGAACGATAGCCAGCAGGAGGAGAGAGCAGCTCCCTGCCAGTACAATGATTATGGCTATGGACATGTCCCATTCAAAGAGCTCCTCGCCTCCATTGGGGGCGAAGGAAGGCAGGCTGGGGAGGGTCCCTTCTATAAAGCTCAAATGTATAATGGCTGTGGAGGTGAGTGCGGGGGATCCATTGTCACTGACTGCCACTGTGACTTTGACATTGTCTGTGAGATCATATGTCAGCTGTCTGCTCACATGCACCTTCCCTGTCTCCTTGTTGATGGAGAAGCCCAGGTGCCCCCCCTCTGTGATTTTATAGGACAGCTGTGCGTTTATGCCCTCATCAGCATCTGTGGCCTTTATCTGGGTTACCACATAACCCGCAGGTGCATCTTTGGGCAGGAAAACCTCGGCAGAGCCTTTGTAAAGCGGGGGCTGGATGATGGAGGGCTGGTTGTCATTTTGATCCACTATCTTTAGCCGGATGACAGCTGTGCTCTGCAGCTGTGGTGACCCCCCGTCGCTGGCCTGGATGTGCACGTCCAGCAGTTTCATCACCTCATAATTAAAACTCCTCAGTGCATATATAGAGCCAGACACCGAGTTAAGAGACACAAAGGTGTTCACTGGGGAGCCCATGATGACGCTGTCCACTAGCCTGTAGGTGATTTTGCCATTGTTGCCAAGATCCGCGTCACTGGCCTCCACCGTGGTGATGTACGCGCCCGGGGCATTGTTCTCCACCACTGAAACTTCATACACAGCCTTGGCAAAGTGAGGGGCGTTGTCATTTTCGTCGGTGAGTCTGATGGTGTACTGGGTGATCTTCCTCATCGGAGGTGACCCAAAGTCCTCGGCCATGACCGTCAGGTTGTACTCGCTGATCCTCTCCCTGTCCAAGGCGGCTGCGGTCACTATCATGTAGGAGTCCTCGTACGCCTGGCGCAGCTTGAAGTGGTCGTGGCCGAACAAGGTGCAGTGGACCTGGCTGTTCACACCCGAGTCCCTGTCCAAGGTGCTGACCAGCGCCACCAGGCTGTCCCTCTCCGCCGCCTCGCTGATGTGCGCAATGCCCGTGGTGATGGAGGTCATGGGGGTGATGCTGATCTCTGGGGCATTGTCGTTAACATCGGTGACGTGAATGATGATTTTGCACACGGAGGGGGTCGGGTTGGCTCCCAGGTCGGTCGCCTGCACGTCCAGCTCGTAGGTGCGTTTGTCCTCGAAGTCCACGGGGCTCCTGAGCGTCAGGCGGCCAGATTTACTATCCACATGGAAAAGTTCTCGGATCTCGTGGGGGACCTGTTTCCCGAACCCGTACACCACCTCCCCGTTCGAACCCTCGTCCGCGTCCACTGCGTTCAGGCTCAGGATGATTGTGCCAACCGGTGCGTCCTCGGGCAAACTCACCGAGAAACTGTTCTGGTCAAAAACGGGGCTATTGTCGTTAAAGTCAGTCACTCTGATGGTGATCTTTGTTGACCCCGATCTGTGCGGGTTCCCTCCGTCTGTGGCCACCAGCTCCACAGTGTATGACGCCTGAGTCTCCCTGTCTAGCTCCTTCATTAGCACCAATTCCGCATATTTAACCCCATCCGCTCTCAGGAGCACATCAATGGTGAAGTGACTGTTGACGGAGATCTGGTAGCTTTGTATGTAGTTTGACCCGACGTCTGCGTCCGCGGCTGGGTCCAGAGGGACCCGGGACCCCACTGCTGCGTTCTCCGAGATCTCCACTATGGACTCCCTGCTCGGGAACTCCGGAGAGTTGTCGTTGATGTCCTTCACCTCCACCTCGACGTGGATCAATTTGTAGCGATCTTTGGAGAAATTCACCACGTCAAAAGTGATGAGGCACTGTGGAGTGTGTCTGCACATCCTCTCCCGATCGATGCGCTCCCCGACGGTGAGCTGCCCGTCGCTTTCCCGCACCCTGATGAACGAGTCGTTGAATTGTTTCATCATCCTAAAATTGGTCTTGGAGGAGTGAGACGGACTCAAGGACATGTCCTTGGCGAGGTTTCCAATGACCGTGCCCGGCGCGTCCTCCTCGCTGGTCTGGTATCGTATAGTATTCCCGTCGCTCTGTGCCAGTGAGGCGAATAAAAACTGATGGATGGAAAACATAATAATCCACCGGTACCAATAAGTTATAAATCTCCCCCGCATCATTTTCGTGGTGATCTTCCCCTTGGTGGGCAGCCTCATTGTGTGCGCAGCCGACGAGACCTCTGGCTCTCCATGCAGCCCCCGCCTGCACCAACTGAGATGTGCTGAAAGTGAAAGTTACTCGCTCCTTTTGCGCGCAGCCAGTCAGACACGCTTGTTGCCTCGCCTCCGACACAGCTCCCAATTCTGCCGCGGTGGGGGTTTATACAGCTCCTCATGCTAATGAGACGAAGTGTGACCAATCCCTCACTTTAAAATTAAAAATACCCTCTTATGAAAAAAGAGCTATAAGCCTGTTTTTAGAGGAAAGTTGCAAAAAATGTGAAAAAGGCGCAGAGAGATATGGCACCGCTTGGAGATAGTCCCTGCACTCTTTATCGTCTTGCCACAGCCATTACCGAGTGATGGTTTTATTTAGTAAAGCTCCCCCTTTCCTT